GTTGCTGAATGAAGTCTGGCAAATAGATTGTTGATTATTTAGTTAAAGAGATGACTAGTTAGACAAATCCCTTGAGATGCGAAGTGCATGTGTTGCAAAAGACAACGATGGCAGCAATGAGCTATACAAGATTTGCAATTTGGATGAGTGAACCTGAAAATATATAGTTTTTTCTATGTTTGTAGAAAACAAAACCTAAAATGACCCCAAAATCCTTTCGGGTAATTTTTCAATGTTTACTTGAATTTCAATTCCACTGGTTGATGCTCTAGGGACCTGTGTTATGCGTTGTTGTAGCTAGTCACTTTTTGTACAGCCAAAATGTTTCAGTGTGGTTTTCTGAGCTTACAGACAGGCGAGATTCTTGGATGTGTTGAGAAGAAACAGTCCAAAAATCGAAACTACACTGACTTCAATTCGCATGGACAAATTGGAACTATTTTGCAGTTCTTTGTAGAATTGCATTCCGAGCGTTCATCATTACAAAACTTGCAATGTGGAGGCTAACTGCAAACGTTTGATGAAGACTTGTTCGTAAGCAAGTTCGATCTTTGAATGGCGATAGAAAGTGCATCATACAATGAAACCAGATCAATGGTACTTGTAACTCGTAATCATAAACTTATGATTGGCTTCTCGCTTTTTGATACTGTACTGTCTTTGCTTAGTTCAAAACGTTTTTCACTCACAGTTCTTCGTTCTCTGCACGTGAGATGTCACTCGAGTTCGCTTCTAGACCGGCACTTGCTTCTTGCTCTGCGAAATTTATATGACACTCTGGCGACTCACATGGAATACGTCGTCGGCTCAGTAAACCTCCGACGTATTGCATCAATACATAGCTGTTGCGAATTCATGACTTAGTAAAAGTATAAGGTCATGGAGTGGGAGTCAGAACGCCTTTACAACAACACCAAATGGAGCATTATCCAACGCCTTGGATGTACCCCCATCACGGTCTGAACGCGCTCATCTCCAACCACAAGCTTTTTCGAGAACCTCTTAGTTTGCTATTCTAGAGATCAGGTTAATAAATTAGCCATTCTATAGGAGGATATGCTCCTCTGAACTACTTCATTCTACTACATGGGGTCGACCGTCATGCTAGTAAAGACAAAAGTTTGTTTCAGCAGGTCACTTTCTGTGACGAGAATCTTTTGATTTACGTTTATGTTTACACTCTATGTTGTCACTCTTACTCTTTTTCTGTCAGTTTGATTTTCATGATGGAGGCTACTGTCCTATGAATCAGGCACTACTCTGAGTATACGAAATGAATAAATAAATAAATAAATAAAAGAATTCCAATGTGCGCTGTGCGCTCATGTCTCAATTGACTGGCGTAGCTAAGCTGGTTACCACTGCGTGCCATTTGGGAATAATGTTCCTCCCATGAATGTAGAAGGATGACCTGAACTGATGATTCTTTTAATCGAACTAAGAAAAGAACCCTTCTGGAACGAGGCAAATCTGTTCAATTATGTGATTGAGAAGATATAAGTTGAAGTTTTATACTTGGGATCATCAGTCAAATATTGGAAGTCTTAAGGAATTGAAATGAAATCTCAGAGGGTAAATATCTCTCAAATCAGTGCGAATATCATGAGACCGAACTACTTCTTTACTTTTCCAAGTTCAGCTTTCCTTGGGTGTTGACTTTTACAACGGGAGGAGTTCCCGGCTCAAATGCTGGCTTCACTCCGCGATTTGGAGCTTTCCATGGACCTTTCCTAGGTACCATTTGAATACATTCTGGGATAGGGCAGACACTGAAAGATTAGATGCTGTTACCCGTAAAAGAAGAAAGTTCATCTAGAGAAAGTCTTCGAGAAGCACGTACGGACTGCACTGACCTGTAACATAGGGTACAACCAGTACAATCATCTTCATTTACTTTTGGTACATGGGTTTCTTTGTTGAAGGAAATGGCTTGGTAACCCGAATCATTACAGGTCATGTAGCATTTCCCACAATTGATGCACATATCCTGCAAATACAGTACTATAGCAGGACTTCCCAATGACTGCGCTACTCACATCATTGATGAGGGCGACTTTTTGGAACTGGTTGTCTAGAGCCTTGTGAGGCCCAATCAAAGGAAGAGCGGAGCCAATCACATCCTGGAAAAAAAATCAGTTTAAACTTCAATCATGGGAAATTATTTGATATGTTACCTATTATGATTCGACACGAGGTAGGCAAATAAGATTTCTCAAAGTCCTTCAACTCTCTCTCTATCTCCCAAGCTGCGCTGAATGGTTGTGTTAACTAGGATACCCACACCAAAGTTTCGTCAGAATAAGGTTATTGAGCACGCGGCGGCCTCGGCTAGTCGCGACGCGACATTTCATGGAGGGACCGAAATGTGGCTGCTCAAGCATGACACCCCAGTCCTGATGTGGGGTTCGCAAGACGTCGCGTCCACTTCCATAACCCTCCGATAAGTGCTATAGAATTAGTTGAAATGCTGGCGTAGTTGGGAATCAGAATGTTCGGGAGAGAGAGTCCAAGATACCCACGAATATTGCGAGACAAGTGCTTCAATGTTTTCCTTAG